AGGCCAAGTTTGATGAAGGCTAGTAGAGGAAACCAGAACGTGGGTGTCGTACCATATACGACGCGCCAGGTGGATGTAGCTACATCTCGGAGTTGATGTTCCGTCAAAGACTCGAACGGTTTGCCTCAAACTTCATCGAATATCTGAACTCGATAGCTAAATGGATAACGCGACGGCATTTGAAGTGAAATGTTTCGTGCTCCAGTCTCGTAGTGAACATCAATTATGTCATGTAAGTGTTATGAGTCATCATTCAAAAGTGACATGCCCGAGAGCAGAATTTTAGGCAGATCGAGGTGACAACGATTACATAGAATGATTGATGTGTAAATGGATGAACAGTCAATTCTGAGACAATTGGTCGAGATTTTTCAATTAAAGCAATTACTGTAAGTTTTTCGAAAGCCCAGAGAATAAGAATTCAACTTTATCAATGAAACAAAGGTCTATTGAATCATAATATGAATGTCAACTCACAAAATAAGATACACCTAAATGAGTAGTATCGTAATCCACTTTTAGACTTTTACTAAATATATTATAATGTTTACAATAGGCCATGCTCCTTTTCCGCACATTCCACTGATCTTCAGTAGTAATTGTATAATAATATTTATCTAGACATTTAATTTTAAAATCTCTATGCCCACAGTGTAGTGTGTGTTGTTGGTATCAACAGATATAAGCAGTATGTATCTGGAATGGAAAGTAAAATTCTTACGGAGAAGAGAGGAAATTGAAGAATAAAGTAAAGCAACAAGCAATGAAAGTAAAAGAACGATGGTGTTTGTAAAGGACAATTCAAGGAAGATAGGCAAACGGTGTATTTAATTTACCGTTTTCATATATTTCAAATAATGGTAGTGTAAGTTGCTAAATGTATAGTTTGTTTCACAAACTCACCAGTATAAATAACCATCATGTGACTAACAGTGATTAACCACGAGAGGTAACACAAAAGTTCTGCTAACAGAATGTATTCAGTAGAGTCCATGTATGCTAGAAGTGAAATAAGAATCGTTGATAAAAATGTGTGATAGTCACTGTATCACAAGTTAATGGCGTCAACATTAAATGGACATTTCAAGGTATGAATTTCCGTAATTCAGTCATTGGTGAGGAGTTTCATTTTAAATCAAAACACAAGTCCACTGCTTTTTGTGTTATAATAATTGTTTAACTAAACGTGTTATGAATGAGATCAAAAGCGTGGCCAACCATTTATTGCTGAATACAAATCACAGAGTGTCTTTCTACGAAAACCACACATGAAATATTTTATTTTCATATCATTTACCAATCGTCCCTTACAAACTTCATCGTTCCTTCATTCCTGTTTTTATTACAATTACTTACTTTTTACATTACTGTTCTCTTTAATTTTATCTTCTCAACAACCGGCTGCCCCCATCTCACTTCTCATTGGTGTGACATACTTCGCGTGTCAAGTACGATTCATATTTAATGCAGTATGCGACCAGTACCTGGAAAGACTTTTATTTAAATGTTACTGATCTCAGTTATGCTTGAACTTACTTTTATCACTTTGTTTACTCACAAAATATATATTCGACCAGATAGACAGTATTCTCGTCAGTTTTTTTAACGTTTATAATATTTGTCATAAACCATAAGTTGATGATTTCTCTTGATTGTTGCATCTAAGCGCTTTGAAAGTTGAATAATAAGTGCTGTGTTTGACTTGAACATTCAGACGTAATTCAGTTCTGTTGAGGAATCTTAAATGGGAATAAACCTACATCATTCCATGATTCATTTTAAATTCTTGCCTATTGTAATTGATAAGAATAGCCAGAATCAACTCCACTACCAGTACTCTGGTTTCATTTACCTTACTTTATTTCTTAATCAAATAAACGTTTCAATTATGTACAAAATAATTTACACTAATATACAAGTAATTAGTTCAAAGAAACTATGTAGACATAATCGGAATAAACCTATGGGTCATTAACAACATTTGATTCCGAGTAAAACACAAACAGAGAAAAGTCAATTTGAACTCACTGTTAGAAATCAAAAAGATGTGGATAAAGTAACATGTTCCAAACTAAGAAATAATCATTTGCAACAGGGTGAACAGTTAGAAGTTATTCAAACACTATCTACACTAATAGATATTTCTCCAGTTCACAGGATGATGAAAAGCAGGTTCAAGCTTAACTTCACTAACATTGAAGTTAAAGTATTTTAATCTACTGCCGTTTATACCTGATTTAAGCTGAATCCTACTTACAAAGATTGAAAGTGTTCTAAATTATTAAGTTTGAACAAATTGACGGATTTGTGCAAAGAGTTAAGTATAAACAGACGTTTGTTATATTGTGAATTGAATATCATTTTTTTGGAAACACAAATACATACAATCACTAGAACCGAATGGTACGATTTTACAACAAGGTTGATTACAGGAAGAAACCAATTTATTTCTATGTTCACGTTCAACTAGAAAGACTATAGTTGCTAAACCAGTGACCTATAACCCTTTGATTATCATATGAAAACACTTATTTATTTACTTATTCGAACACATAAACATTGATTCAAGGGGACAACATAGACATATGTGCTATAAAATATTCATGTGACCAGTAACAGTTAATATTGGTTTGTACGAGGGCAGTGTATTGTTTGAGAGACCACGCCGGGAGCCTTTTACCTGAAGTCCTGATCTTCAAGGAAGTTCAGAAGCATTGAGAGATGCATTAGCTTCGTAGCCGGTAACCACCAAAAATGATCGTCAAAACAACTACGGTTTTCTCAAGCAACCGGCATAAAATCATTTAAAACAATTTTGTGCATCCAAAAACATTTAGTTTTTAATATCGCTTTGCCACGATGAACTCATTCATTAATGTTTGTTATGCAAATGTTCTTATTTAATTATGACATTATGATGAGTAAACTGATAGTTACTCAATATTCTGGATAGATATATTTTACCACTGACGAAAGGTCGGTTTTCACTGAATAATGCTTAAGGTAGACTATAACAGTTGAGTGAGATAGGCTGAAAGTTTCAAGAAATTAGACGTTTTTGATATGTACGTCAATTAGCATTGATTTTCGTTTTCATAAGTTAACAAACGTGAAAACTTTCTTACAAGTCAACATACATGTGAATATTTAACCTCTCGAATTCGCTTGAAAATCCTTCAATTGTTATTATTAATTTTATTGGTGAATCTGGTTTCGTATTACTATCCCAGGTTTGTTCTTCTTGCTCCCCTCAATCTCGAACATTCATCGAAATAACAGTTAATTGATTTATTGTCACATCAGTCTGTTTGTGTCCTGAAATTTAGTTCAATTATTCAACTGCATACAGTAGTTCGCAAAACGATTGAGAACAGCTGAATAATTCAACAAACCCACAAAAAATAAAACGATGGTGAGTGATGGATTGTTTGAATATATCACGTATGCTAAAGACGTTAAGCAGGGGTCATCTAGTGATTAGTGAGCAATCCGTTAGAAGTGCTCAATACAGATAGTAAGCATCCACTATTTAGACTATTTATCATTGTTTTCTTGAGTGATTTTTTTTCAAATCCACTTCGTCGTATTTTGTGTAAACGATCCTGGTCTTTTTATTAACTGGTCACTAACGCAAAACTATGAAAACAGTCGCACACACTTCGAAAAAAAATTCTACAACGAGATGCTTTACGTCTGATCGATTTTCTCTAACTCGCCTATCAATCCAAAGGTCTTTAAACTGTGTGCATTTTGTAATACGATTTGAAAAATCGGGAATTCTGTCCTATTCCTTGAAATAAATAAAATATTGCACCAAGTTCTATCATTACTATGTATATTCTGTAAAATTTCAAAAGTAAAAATTGATACTTCTTTAACCTCGGTGTAAATAATCTGACCACTTACTTTACAAAAATATAATTCTGTTGACCTCAGTTGTCTACAGAAATACCAAAGATTATACTCCGTTGTCGTTTATAACCTCATTTCATCTCAATAATAAAATAATATGGCATTCTATATTTTCTATTCATTATATTGGGCTCAATATGAATCTTAGAATAAAAATCATGGCTTTTTATAAAATGTTTATACAACTGACAATCAGCCACACGTAAAGAAAAAATGATGAGTGAAATTCTCACTTTACAAAAAGTTAATATTTCTCTATAAACAGAATGAAGTGAAAGCAAATTATTTAGCTGTCAATTTATAGAAGGTTTTGCTACAGCTATAAATAAACACTGAAATTATTCATCATCAGATGAGTTTGGTGGTCGTTTACTTATAGAATCACCTGGTTTTCACGTACTTGGTTTAGCAAATTATGGAACTTTTTTTCTAATCTTGGTTCTTTGAAACTCAGCTGGTTATTACGTCCTGTGTATATTGGTCTACGAGACTGGTTTGGCAAATACGTGTGTGGATAGACAAGCCTTTAAAAATTTAATGTTTTACTTTCAATGAAATTCATCATCTTTATTTTCCGACAATCATAAACTTCGCGAATTTACATAACACATTCAGTTTCCCTTTGCATAATGAATCAGAAAATTTTATCTCTTTTGATCTTAACATCTTTTAACAGCCTGTAGTACAATATGACGGTCAACAAGAATTGATATGGCTTTGTTCTAAAATTGCAATTCCACAGAATTTTTTAATAAAGTCAAACTCAAACGTAAAAATGTAAATTTAGACATCCAACCAAAATAGCTTGTGCTACTTTAACTTTAGCCAATATAATCAAATCAATCCGTCACAGATTATTGTAGGCACCAAAACGTTTGTTAGTGAAAATATGAGCACACATTTAGAACTACAAGTAAACCAATGACTTAACTTGAAGTATTGATTATCACATAGAAAATAATTTTTATCAATGGAGGTCAAGACTTTCAACCAACGGTGAATAATTTCAGCCTTTTTACCATAACAGATAAAAGGTTATTGCATATTCATCAGTTCATTTACTACCGTGACTAGCTAGTAATGATTATATGACTTCATAAAATTTGATTGCTCCCACAGTTACTTATAACCGTCCAACCAGATAGAAACAAATAATTGAAAAGTTTATATAAACTCAACAAATTCTAACAGCAATTATTAACGCTTTGAACAAGAAAATGGGGTGAGTGCTGGCTGCATAGTTAAATTCAATATTTACACTTTGCGAATTTCAATTTGATCTAATGAGATAGTCTTGTTTTGTTCGTGCGAATGATTTTAGATACTGTTTTTTGTCTGACAACCTGATACCAGTGTACTTGATAGTTACCTTGGCTTTCAAGTTCTTCGATTGTCAACGGGCTTGTGGCCATATTGATTTGCAGAAACAAAGAAAACTAGTATTTGAAGGTGATTCATACGAATACGTGAGTGTTCATTCACATTCCAATACAGATATATAGTCTCATTACTATTATTACTCTCAAATAACTAGGCTTAATCAGCTTCTTCCAGATGGTAGTGACAGGTTTGAGGAATTCATTACTGGTAGGGTAAGTTGAGAACATTTTGCATTGGAGGCACTAATCTATTTGTTTGCATATCTTCAGACAGTTACACCGAAATTCCCGTTTAAATTTTACGGTATCGACGTCAAAAAATTTAATATATACACGGATGGTAAGAGAAATATTTTCTTTGAACTAATTAGTCACCCAACTTTCTTTACTCATCCATCATCCTATGAACCAAAGTTGCTTTAATTTCTTCAGTAAATCAGTTTTATTCTTTTTCTAACGTTCAAAATGTCTACATGTAACTTATTATATTCAAATTGTAAAATGTTTGAAGTCTCACAGCTACCTAATTAAGGTTCATGCGGTTCATTTGAATCCCCAGTTTATTTCAATGTTTTTTATTTATTCACTGCACATTATCAATCGATTTGCATGTTTTCATTTGATAAACACAGGTTCAATGAAAGTGTACGGACAAGAGCAATTAGGAGTAATTAGCACTTATGTGCAAAGTAAAGTTCAATTCAAATCTGAAATTTTGGATGAGGGTAAGTCCTTTATTCAGTGAATGTTTGCTCAGGTTTTCCTTTCTCACCTTTATTTTGCATAAACTTGATTATTTCATGAGCGCCGACCAGTAAATAATGATTATATTGTTGTTTTCATGTGATGCCTTCAAATGTATTCACTACACATACTCATTACTGTCAAGTGTGAAGAGTAAATAAAACAAAGATTCACTTAAAAATAAACACAAATTGATTGAGTGAAACGTAATTGCTTGATTGAAAATTACCTGATCTACAGTCTGTTTGGACTACCATAAAACATATATCTCGTCAATACGACTTCGTTATGGATTCTAAGAATCAAGCTGATCGAACGTACAATACAAAACGATGGGTGTGCGAGAAATCAGTTTTGATTATTGTATCACACGTTGTTGATCATCATACTATGGTGATGAAGTTTGAACTCACGTCTGTACGCAGACATTTAATCAACAGACGACCAAGAACAGTCTGTTAGTACAATACGATTGATTCGAACAACAAAACCTAGACTGAACCAGTTCACTTGAATCTCGAAAGGAACTTGCAAAGTTGTGTCAAAATTCATTTTATGTTAAAATGTATGTTTATTGAATAAGAAGAATATACAAGATGCAGATATATGAACACAATTATTCTACTTTCATTATTTCAGAGAACTTATTAGCTGTCAGACTGTCTTATCATGAAGTTGATGGTAAAAGTATGTATCCATTATATGATTGCTTGATCACATGTGAAATATTAGCACTTACACCATCATTCATTGTAGTTACTCAAGCATTTCCTGTTCAGTTTGATTGATTGACAGCAGTCAATTAGTTTGAACATTTTTACAAACTAGTGGGGAATTATATGTGCAATCCACTGGTCGTTTACTGACATTGAATCAGACTTGAAGAATCGTCGACAAAACTCAGAAAAATGATAGGTTTAATCAGTAACAATTGGACTATTTTGGATCAATTAAGTCATAATCTCATTTCATTTGTAGACAAACAAATGCAGAGATACGTTTCTGTCAAGCGGATAAAATTGTACTAGTGTTTTTAAATACTTAAATTTGTACTATTCATTGCATGATCATTCCTAAATATTATTCATTCACTGTTGGAAATCGTCAAGATAAAGCTATCCATTTGTCGTCTTTAACAATCACTAATATACCAGTGTGTTGCATAAACAGTTAAACGACCAAGTTCTCACTGTAAACAAGTGTGAATACCTCTTAAACAATCAGAACCAATCAGGAATGTTATGACCTATTGTTTATCGAGAAATTAGAGTGTAGCGTATCCTCTGAAACTAAGCCTCTACCATTCATTTTGAAGGATGCATGGTTGCTTCATTTACACGACGTCCACTAGATCATAAAGACTTAAATAATAAAGTCTAGATAACACAGTGAATATCTTCCTAAATCTGATCACTTTGTGAGTGGGCATATACCACGTCGCATATAACAGTAACGTGCTCATCATTTATTACTCAAATTCAAGATATCGATGGTCTTCTGTTTTCAGGTCTTGCAGTAAGGGCAACCACTTTGATATATCCGAATGGCAAGATATCCTTTTATTATGAGAACGTAAGTTGCACAGTTGAATGTAAATGTAATTTCGTTTCAAGCACTTCAGATTATTCAACTATTCCGAGCATAACACTACTGTTGATTGTATCAAGATACTTTGGACGCGATAGAAAAACGTCAGAATTTTGTAACATACAAACAGGATTGATGAAACTATCATTAATTCGTTAATCACAAACTTCATTCTAGCACGTTTTCAAAACAATCAACAATAAGATACGATGTGATATCCAAGGATACACTTCTGTCTTCGCGCCGATTAAAAGCTAACAGTGTATGTTATGGTACCCCACGGGAACAGTCATATTCTGTCAAGTGTTACCAAGCCTTCTGAAGATCACCTGTTTGACCAATTCGCTGTTGAATATTCTGAGCGTTGTATAGTTTAAATAATGATTGTTCCTCAAAGTTTAGGTGTTCGAATGCCAGTATTCTGTACTTCATACATTCGGAACACAATAGACGTTGTATAACTAGATATGTCTTATGAGATGAAAGATTTCATTAGGGTCAGCTACAGTTACTATAGCCTAAAATGCAGAGATCACTAATGTGAGCATAGTTTTCTTTGGAATTATATATATATATATTATTTGATTAACAGTCGTAAAAACGAATTCAGAAAATATCTGATTTAAAAATTGGACTTTACATAAGAGGAAGAGGCCAAAATTTTGAGATATGCTGTAGGGTTATATGGATACATTCGTCATTTATTAATACAATGTTCGAAAATTCTACTAAGAAATGTTCAGAAGTCACTCAGTGACGGAAATAGTGATTATTTCACAGTGTGAAATATTTGACAATCTATTTTTGGTATCTCACTCATTTAAAACACAGTGGATATTGGATAACTAGAAAAGGTTGAAGAGGTAAAAGATCTCATGTGTGACGTAACATATTGGTTGTGATTGCTTCGAGATAATTAAAACACATTATTGAAGGAATCTTCTTGAGAAATAAACGGTAATTGATGAAAGCAGGTACATCGACACACTTCCATCACATGGCAATAAAATCACGTGCAGCAACACTGTACTTATTCACGATCACATTTCTATCAATGGACATGAACATTTATTTCATGATGTATCGCTTTACTCTATGAAAGATAGGCCGTTCTTCTAACCTCATTGAAGTGAACAGTTGAAATGAGTCAGACTAGATAGAGCACAGTTCTATAAGAAATGAGCAGATCAACATGCTCACCGTGAGTGTTACTAGTTGTCTTTGTCTAAGGTAATGTGATTGGCGACAAAATGTTTCAGTGGTTAGTTGGTTTTGATAGAGGTGATTCTGTGTTGAAAGGTCTTGACTCAGACTTCCATTACATGTTTTCAGATTCCTAAGAAAATTAGGGAAATTCAAATGAAACCGAGCTTTCTCAGTTCAATTCAGTGTGGACAAAGAGGTAACAAATATTATTTTTATTGTGATTTGCACTGAATTACATGAATGATGATCTGTTAGCCTAATGATACGTCCCATTTGTACCCAATCACCAGAATTGTAACACAGAAATTTGCTGCCTGCGTTATTCAGTTGTTTCGAGTGCATAATACAAGGGTTGGTATGTCATTGAAGTTTTGCGGAAAATCGTGAGAAATAAATACAGAAAATTTTTTTCTAAATTCACTATCCAAATGTTATTGTTTATCAAAAATTCGACGTCAATTAGGTATTTACGCATTTTGATCATAATGTTATTATCACATGTGAGAAAGTCACCATGGAAACTCATCTTGAAAATGTCTGTCGATCTGTGGACCATCATAATTATCTTAATATAAATCAAGTTTCTGAATCTCTTAGTAGACACCCGTTAACCTTGTTACTATCACGAAGATTTGAGTTAATGTGATGGAATATTAATGCTTTTGTTTCAGTTTTGTGTGCTAAATTCCATAAACAATATATTTCACTACCTACCTCTTCTGACGCTTGCCTAACCTAGCATACCGAGTAGTATAACTAAGATGCGTGAATATCTCCATAGCAACAGTGCAAATGTATATTTGATGAAGTGTATCACATATGTTTAACGATCGGCTGATATATGAACGGCGATATTAGGCGAACGATAAAACTACTCATTTGTCTACTAATTCGTTGTTTGTCCAGTTAAACGAACAGTATTTTTTCATGTCACTAATCAGTACAAAAGGAAATGTATTTTGTCGAACAGAAAGAATAGTTGTTCCATAAAATTCTCAGTCGTCATGGCACGCTGACACATTGCTGAAACATAAAGCTCATCTTCGAGATAAGTATATAGTGTAAATGATTAGACGGAATACATTGTATAGTGATTGACTGTGAGAAAATGCATCAAATATTTTGTCAATTGTATACGATGATCAGTTGAAAATGTGTTACTGAGTCTCTTCAAAGTAAATCTCAATATTGACTATTTGTGAAATAATTTGTAACGAGTTAAACATACTTTTCAAACGATGTTGCGCTGACACACTTAATAAATAAATCAGATAATCAGTGGTATCGTTTTTTATACACTGGTTGAACACTGACCTCTGCTGGAACCAAAATTGATGTAAAGCATAGTTTGTGAGGATGTTGTTTGGCCACAATTGCGTCCGCAATCAGTAATTAAACAATTATTTATTTTCATCTCTCCTTGAACGAAAAAACAACCTGTTAAACTTTAAATAGAAATCAAAATTAAAATTGTTTTATTCTGCACAATTTTTTTTGCAAGTTAATAGAGACGCTAAGTTAACTGTTCCTGGAAAATGGGTCACAAGTGGAACGTTGGTGGAGCATGAAGTTATCGGTGGTATGTGAAATCTTACTTTATCATAGTTGATTATATTCACGCTTGAATGCATCAGTTTTGTTTCCTGAAAACTGGAAATGTCATGTGCAATGTCAATCAGTTATTAAATGATATTCAGACATCAGTATCAACTGACGTTACTCTACATTTCAATTTACTGTTGAATATTTAAATGATTAAGGACATAAAATGAACTACTTCAGAAATTCTCACTTTGAATAAATTTACTGCTACACAATGTTACAAGATGATGGATGATGTGATACAAGACTGTTAGATGATTGTCTATCAACTTGAAATTGTCCTTTGTGTTTTTCACTTAGTACACATAATACTAAATTTTCCTGGGGTATGAAATCGCATAGACGCCTCATACAATTGAAATTATTTCTGAAATAATAGTGAAAGTTAGTAATAGATTGGTAAAAAGAAGAACAACAAAATATTGCGTATAGGATTAACCGTCACGGTTGTAGTGCAGCTTACGTGGGAGAAAAATCCAGACAATTGAACTTTTGGTTGAAGGAATACAAACAGTGTTAAAAAAATGTTCCGAAATCGTCGGTTGACCTAAAGAAACTTGAGAATAAATCTGAGATAGCGTTATATACGTTATAATCAAGACACAAGATTAGTTTTGAAGGGACCAAAACACATCAGAAAAGTTTATAACACTCATACAACAAAGATTGACAGCAGAAGTGCTGTATATATGGGCGAACAAGAATAGCCAGAACCGAAAGGTTGATATTCAACTAGCGAATACCTGGCAAATATTTTTGGACAAGTAAGTTTGTCAGTTTTTTTATTCAATCTGTTCATTTCACATGCACCGTTATTTTAATTGAAATTGATGTGAGCTATTTTAGCAATACAATTATGTATTTGATGATTCTCAATTGACATTGATGATTCAGAAACAACTTTTCAACCTTGAACTTGCACTTTTATTTATTTGTTTTTTTATTTATAAAATGTTAAGGCCGAATATCAAAAATTAATAACTTATTTTTCAACATTTATACATACATACACACATACAATTCGTTCCCAGTTATTTATTTCCACGTCGTGAACTTTTCACATGATTACTTTCTTGTACGAATTATCAAGTACCCCTCGTGAGTTTACATCGTGATTCAGTACTTTGCATATGTACAAACGGTATACAAGACGTACTTCAATCATAAGACTGATATCATAGAAATAAACCCGACAGACATCTAAAATTCAATTCAGTGCACTCTGCTGAACGCAGTGACAACATATTGTGTATAGGTCTCAGTGTAAACGGACATTCAAATGCACCACATTTGCCCGTCGTAACTCATCTTTCAACATTTAACGTAGTTTCTTTCAATTCCGAATTGTTGTCGTGAATTGTGAATGACACTTAAAGTTTACTGAATTTCTCATTGAGCAATATAATGACAACGTTTGTGCTATTAAAATAATCTCTTAAATCTGAAATCGCCAAAGAGCCATTGATTTATATTAACATGTTTTGTAATTCACTTATCTTTCGCTTGATACCTTGACACGCAAGAGTCTTATTCTTTCCACTGAAGATTGTTCAAATCATATTTTGATTGAAGCATGTGAAGCCGCAACAACATCAAATACAAAGTGTATGTGGTGTGAAAAAGCCAATATGTGCATTATTAGCAATGACATGGATATACATGACTTCAAAGTAAATGGTTGCCAGATTAAAGTGAGTAATTGGTAAACTACACAAGTTGTTTTCAATATCACTATATTCTACATCGTAAATCTACTTACTAGGAAGAACATTTTGTTGCTACGAATATGTAAACATTTATTTTCTTCCCCCAGTGCATAACGCAAAACGTTTTGTACGTTGAAGATTTTTAATGAGATATGAATACAACGCTTTGTTTCCATGTTTGAATTCAACGACCGATTGAAGCCCTGTTTAACACTAATGCTCGGAAATATATTAATCTTTCAGCTCATACAATGCTTAACGACTCCCAATATACGATATAAAGCCAGATATCCAAGTGATCTGTCAAAGTTTGTTGATCAATATTTAGATTGTGATAAGACACAAACACAACTCGTCAGTTAGTTGTACAATAATGTATGCTTATCACATTGACTGTCAAATCGAAAGTAGATATACTAGATCATTATCCAATAATCACATTATGCAAATGTAATTTAGGCAACAAGTTGTCGAATTTAATTTTGGCATCAATACTTGTAATAGCGTGTGATTAATGATGAACTATTTGATTAAAATTTGATGTTCAGTAATATTGCCACTGTTTTGATCCACAGAATAGTTCGAGTGTAAACGTTTCGACTAAACAAACAATTATCAACTACGAAGAAACAACGCCAGGTATCACTGAACCTGATTTTGAAATTGAATTGACCAAAACTACACAAACAACTGAATCTCATTTGGTAAATATTCCATATTTAATAATTATTATACTTTTCCGTTTTTTTCAGAGTTTGACTAAAGGTGGACAACCAAGAAATTCATACAATTCCTTGTTCATCATCATATCGCTTGTTGAAGCTTTCTTTCTTTTTTGCACTTTCTGTGTCATATTCCTATGTTTGAACAGATGGAGAAACTAAGTTGTAACTCACAGAAACATCTTGTTACTTGATTTGAACATGCTGACTTTGTTTCTACATTTTGAAATTTATATTCTGTTGATCATTTCATCGAACTGGAACTTCCTTTCATTGAATAACATACCGCTTTGATGATAATTTAGGAATAACTGAAATAATTTTATAAATGGGATGTAAAATATGCATTTTTGTATTTATGTGATTGTTTTCACTCAATAAAAACTGGTCAGTTGTTGAAAGGTTGACATCAACAGATTCGTGTACACGTGATTTTCTGTCATTCGCAATCAAAATTGAGTCCATTGTGAACATCCTTTTTGTTGAAGTATCACTATTCGAAAAAAATCGTTTAAAATTGACGACGTTCGAGGATTTAAAAATTCTATCAGAACACCGTACTTATAATGAAATCCAAGACACACGTCGCTTCCAATCTTTTGAGACCCGTCGGCTGGCTGTACCAAAATCACAGAGTTGACATGTTAGTGCGGTACTCAGACGCTATACTGGTTACTTCAAAACTTGTCGAGTCATTTTCCTAGCTACTCAGAATGGACACCCACTAACGTCTGCAAATAGCTTCAATACACCATATTCAGGTGGACACAGAATTAACAAATGTTTTTCCCGTGGCAAACTGCATCCCTGGAAATTATGTTCTTTTAATGACGCCGAATGCTCGGATTGTAATAAAGTTCAATACATTGCGTATTCACAAATCCCGACAAAATTTGAGCTTCTGATGATCATAGACCATTTTAATCTATGATTTTGAAGGTTACTTTGAATATGTAATCGTGACTACATACCACTTCTAGTTTGTTCCATAATCTCATTGTTGGCACAGGCAGGATACAGTCAACTATTTTACTGAAGGCTTTTTCAGTAGAAAGGCACAAAGTGAACTTGTCCTCATCAGCGTTCAGACACAATAAGAATTCAGTCTCCAACACTAAATCCACATTTACTGGAGCAAACACACAACAGTTCACGCCGGAGCTATTCCTAATCACATGACTTGTTCGTAAGTGTTCTGCAAAGCTGATATAAAGAACCTCTATCTTTAGATCTTCATGGATCAATTTTTATTAGATTTACCAACCATTACCACTATTCCTGGACTTTTCGAATTGTTCGAATAGTTGGGGTCAGAGCGACCATCGTAAACAACGGTTGAAGACTCTGGGTGGCATGGTGCAGAATCGGTCAAAATGGTGTCGGTGTATACAAACCTTGTCTTCCTTTAAACAGTGGGGTTGAATTACTTTATACCCGGCTTTATATGAAAAAACTTTTTAACTGTATCGTATGCTGAAATGCAATCTATTCTCATACTACTACTATTGAATTAACTACTTCTATGAACTCGATGTTCATCTAGTTATGTGTGGCAATGCGGACCGGAGCATATATTCTGCTGTTCCTACGTTGTACATGACTAACTAACTGAGAGATTTCAACCAGACTATTGAGGTCTGATTCTCTGGGAATGCTACACACTTATGGTCATAGACTCTTTTTATGAGGTGTCAGGAGGTTTTTCACGAGTGAAAGTTTTTTCTTGTATTACTATTCAGTTGCATGGTTTGAATTCCAAATACATATATCTAGTTGTGCTCATCGGGTTCGCATTGACTTCTTACCAGCACACACAGGACTACCAGGAAGCATATCGAACCATTCAGGTGAAACTAGTCGGCTTTCTACGTTTTATATGCATATATACTCTGAATTTGCACAAACTTATAATTAACAGACTGTTATAGATACATAAGTGTCAGATATATTGGTATTTAGGGTAGTGAACAGTTCTTATCAAACATTAGCAATCTCCAATTGTCAGATAGTTTCCAAACGTTGTTCTTCAATGATGAAATTAGTGTAATCTTAGCCGCTCATTTGTCATAGCTATATTGAAATCATTTCCGTTCATATATGTATGTTACTGTCAAATTTGTAAAGACTGGAAAAACGTAAAAGAAATGATTATTACAAAAACGTCCCGTCATTTTGGCTGTATACTATGTTATTCCGTTTGCTAGGACCTTAGGCTGTTGGATCAACTAATTAATAAACTCAGTTCTAAACTTTCACAAAACGTTTAGGTTTAAAATTTATAATCTGAACAGGTTTATTCTGAAACCAACGCCAAATGTTCATAAGACTTCACGAAACATTAAAAAAATATCCAACATCGAATCTGACTATTTTCATCTATGTAGATGTCAACAAGCACTGGTCGATGCATCAATCTATCAAGTCGTCTACACTTCCAAACAATAGGCAACCATAATCTTCATGTAAGCAAACGCAATGCAAAGACTAGGCTGACAACAACAAATCAATTTATTTCACGGTTGAAGCCATAATCACCTTATTTAAAAACGGTAAGTAGTAATAACATTCCTCCTCACCCTATGGACTATGTACCGCTAATAACTATTCTAACGCTGTGTCGAATCGATATGAACACTTCAATTCCCTTAGTTTATGTATCGAGTTTTTCTGTTGATAGAAATTCATGGTACTTTCTACTCTATACTCCTTGCTCAGGCGATAGTTTGAGATGATCCGGTACACAATTCAGATTACAATCTATCAGACACTAAAATGCACAACACTGTCAGGGATAACATTAGCTGTTTTACACAACATTCTTCCTTAATAAACTGGCTAGAAGTTGTTATTTATGAAAACCACTTCTCAAAAAACATAAAATATCAACACAAGACTTATCATTCACAGACGGCTTTCAAATAAGTCATAGTTACACTAACTCTATTATAAAAGACCACACAACAATCTACTTTGTCCGAAGACAGCATGATTTACTCACCAAAGAACTGTATTTAACTCTCACGAAAACATACGTCCTGATTACCTTTCACTAAATGATTCAATCCTACAGCAACTGTAGATGAAATAGTTGAGTAAAATTATTCAAAGATATAAATGCATTGAATTGTACGAGTGATAAGTTTTCGACATAAAGTTTATTTAAGTTACTTCCGGTGTGGGCGCAGATGTTCACCACTACCTGCGAATTTCTAAACCACATCAAACCTTTCAAGACTAATCACAGGAAAACGATTGAAATTGGATATCTTATTGTGCGGAAATAAACATCATCGTTAACACAATTTAGAAACAATAAATTTTAAATATTGGCGAATATAATACCTTACTTACTTACTCCTGTTACTCCTAATGGAGCACATACTGACGATCAACCCACTCTGTCCTGAGCCTTCTTCTCAAAGCCATCCAATAATTGTTCATTTTTCTCATGTCTATCTCCATTTCCCGGCGTAATGTGTTCTTTGGTCTTCCTATCCTCCTTTGGCATTGAGGACTCCACGTGACGGCATAACCTGTGACGCATTTCGGTGATTTACTAAATGTGTGTCCTATCCACTTCAGTGCTTCTTCCTGATTCTTTCCTCTGGTGGTATCTTGTTTGTTTTATCTTATAGTAGGTTGTTGCTAATAGTATCCGGCCAACGGATTCAAAGTATTTTGGGTAAGTAACTGTTAATAAACACCTGTATCTTCTGGATGATGGATTTCGTAGTTTTCCAGGTTTATGCATCATGCAGTAGAACTGTCCTGACATTTGTATTGAAAATTCTGACTTTGAAGTTGGTTGAAAATTGTTTTGAGTTCCAAATGTTCTGCTCTTGTAGATATGCTACTCTTGCTTTGCCAATCCGCGCCTTCATGTCTTCATCAGATCCACCGTGTTCATCAATGATGCTGCTCAGATATGTAAAGGTCTTTGCATCTTCCAAATCTTCTCCGTCAATTATGATTGGATTGGTGCATGCTGTGTCGTATCGTTTGTGTATGTTGAGACCTACTGCTGCTGGGGCTGCGGCTACTCTGGTCGTCGCCTCCTGCATTTGTTGTCGATATTTCTATATACACTCAGCCCAGACGTTTATCACAATAGGCGGAACAGTCTAATGAGCTGTTCTGCCGGCTTTCAACTAGCCTTCGATTACTTGGCATTTTCAAATAGTCTGACGGGAACATTGAAGTACTTATCCTTGCTATAGTTCAGTTTCAAAAATGTTATAGACGATCTTATACGAGTTAGAGCAGCTGATACAGATGTATTTGCTCCGGGGGAGTTTTACCATTAGGTTGACTAATATTTTAGTTAAAGTTTGAGTGTTGGAAATAATCCCATCTAGCTGGTCTCAACATCCCTCGACCGTAGCTGCTACCTTAAAGTGGTGGTCGGGCTTGCCTATCGTGATGACACGACCAAGCTATGTTGGCTGTAACACATGTTTCTTCAGGTTCTATCATGCCAGACGGGTCGATTGAAGAACGGTAAGTCTCAAAGCAGCAATTCAAGTTCTGAGGGCGAAGTCGTACTGCTGACTGTACAGAGGTGTGACAGCAGTAAGGTGTTTCCCTCGGACAATCAGCATCTGCGGCGATACTGCCTTTTCACAAAGAAGGAAGCGGTTAGAAAAGGTCGACCCTAAAAATGTCACACCTCACCTTACCCCATGGATTTCCGTCTCCGGCTGTAAGGCCCTTTGAAGAACGGAGCTAACACATTAAAATTCTCCCACAAAAGAACCGTGCGCGACCGGCTTCAAGCAGTTGTCCTTTGGGCTCTTCGGTCACGCTCCCAGGTCGTTAAGACCAACCCTAATCAGATTTCCTTTTCAGGTTCCTCAAGAAATACCCATCCACGGGGTGAGCAACCGGGAATTGACATCGGCCCTCATACCCGTAACAGCATACGACACCAAGTTGTTCACATTCAAATCCCTCCTACACCTCCTAATAACTCTTTTTCCTCCACGATCAACCCTTCTCACATCCCTTTATCACCTCGCCCGGCTAGTGGAAACGATTCGAGTACACAAACGTTATTCATGGTCTCCTGAAACCATGCTCTAAACTACACGTAGGAGCTTTCAACATCCGAACACTGTGCCAAATAGGACTTTAGAATCTCGCTCCATCGATGTGTGCTGCGTCTCGGAAACGCGCACACATGATCCGAGTAGTGTCATTCATTTGACCTCACTATATCAAAGTAACGAACCAACCCGATTTAAACTTCGTGTATCTGGAAGCCCTGATGCTGCTTCCCGTGGACTCGCTGGCGTAGGTATAGCATTGAGTCCTAGGGCAGAACTAGCTCTCTTAGACTGGATCCCAGTAGACAGTCGTTTGTGCACTGTCCGACTAAACGAAACAGTAGGGACTAGGAAAGACAGAGAC